GGACGGAAGCGAGATCCAGAGGGTTAGCATGGCGGGACGGCCAGGAAGGGCGGGCACTCCAGACGCTCAAGTCTGCAAAAGGGCAGCACGGGAGGAGGCGAGTGGGCGTGGGCGGTGCGAGGCCGGGGACGTGGTTCTGGGTACAGGAGGAGGTGAGCGGGGGTGTGCGGGAGGAGGTGAGTCGGGGGGGGCAAGAGGAGGTGAGCGGGGGGGCAAGAGGAGGTGAGCGGGGGTGTGCGGGAGGAGGTGAGCGGAGGGGCAAGAGGAGGTGATGGGGGAACAGGAGGAGATGAGCAGGTGCATGAGAGGAGGTGATGGGGGCTGGAAGGAGGTGGGGGGGAGGGCAGGAGGAGGTGAGTGGACACACATGGTTCACAGGCCCAGGGAGGTGGTTGGGGGCCCAGGGCCACTGCTGGTCAGCAGGCTTGGCAGCTGGGAAGAAGAGAGGACCCAGGAGTGAGGACAGTGGGTCCTGGGGGACCCTGGGACAGCTGGTGCCTGGGTCTGAGTACAGAGGGGTCCTGGCCCAGGGGGACCCAAGTGGGTGAGGAAGAGCCGGTCTCGGAAGGTGTCCCTAACATGCAGCTCTGAGCAGGGCCCCTGACCCCAGAGTCTCACTTACAGGGCTGTGCGGACTGGGCCCCTCCACAGTACATGCACCACAGGGCCTGCTGGGAACATTGTGGGCAGGGCAGCAAAGCCATCGAGACATGCCGGGGCCTGGAGGGGCTGATGACGGCATCGCGCTGGGTTCCCAGCAGGATTCCAGCTCCACCCAGGGGCCTGGACGGCTGAGGCAGGCGTGAGCGCTGGGTTCTGAGCTCCATTCTGGGTTCTGGCTCCACTCCTGCTGTGTGGCCTCAGGCACCACAATGCCCTCTCTGAGCCATGTCTTCTGCCAGCAGCGGTGTCTCCTGGAGGGCACGGATGCTGGGGACAGCAGGGTCCACCCCTGGCTGCATGCAGACCTGGGGCAGGAGGGATGGCAGCCAGGGCTGCACAGGAGAAGGCGCCTCGAGGAGGAGGGGTCTCATCCGCACCCGGAAGATGGTGCTGGGAGGAGGACGTGGAGAAAGAGGACCACCTGGTTGGAACAGACGTTGCCCTGGGGGTGGCCTCTGTCTGCGCTCGTGTGTCTTGGGCGCCTGGCGCGTCTGCGTGTGTGCTGTCTCTCTGTGAATGGGCGCATGTGCCTGTGGTATTGGCACACGTGTGTGGCATGTGCTCATGTGTGCCTGCCTGTGCTGAGTGTGGTGAGGAGAAAGGCCCCCTCATCTGAGGTCGCCGAGGATCTGCGGCCGGCCAGGTCTGCGGTCTCAGCCACAGCCGGTGTGGCCACCTCTGGGCATGGTTGATTCTCAAATAAGATAAAAAGCCAGACCCTGCAGGAAGACAGCCTGATCCAGACAGGGTGCAGATGTTCTAAGATGAAATAACCTTTCTTCAGGAGGAACGACATGGAGACGGTAGGGTTGCAACCAGGCTAAAAAAAGCAGCACCCATCCGGACGTGCGGAGAGCTGTTCCCTTTTAAAACATCCTGGGAGTAACCCCCACCCCCACCCCCTGCAGTGTCTTTTGAGGCACCTCCTGGGACAATCTCTCCACATGAAGGGCGGGTCGGAGGACCCTGCATTCAGGGCTGGGGACCAAGCTCCCTGGAGCAACCCTTGGGCCTGTGCTGTACCAGCCGTGTGCTCAGGACAGCCAGGGAGGAGGCCATGTGCTGTTGGAGTGTGGGGGAGAGCACCAGCTCTAGGTGTGTGCCTGAAAGCCCGTGGCAGTGGGGCTGGGGTCTGCCCGGAACCGCTGGAGCCCCTGGACCGGTTTCCCTGCTCCCAGTTGGCCCTGTGGCCAGTGTGACTGAAATGGGAGATGGGGACTCTGTGACCCAATGGAGATGGTGCCCTCCAGGCAGATCAGGACCTGGGAGCAACCAGCAGAGCTGCGTTTCGTTCGCTGATTCACCCTCCATTCGCCCGCCTGGAGCTCGCTGCCTTGGACTCTGTGTTGGGAGCTGTCCTGGTGCTAACCCAGGCCTCAGTGGACGAGGTCATGGGCAGCACAGTCCTGGACAGTGGAACTGATGGGGACGTGTGGGCGGGGAGCCCAGAGGGATGTGAGGAGGTGGTTCTGACTGAGCTGGGCTTTGCGGGATGGGTGGGAGCCGGCTGGTGAGGAGAAGCTAGGGGAGGCAGGGGCACTCAGGCCTGAAAAGCAGAGTATCAGAGTAGTGGATGCCAGGGAAGCCACACAGGGCATGGGCAAGGATGCGTCATTGCTGCTGCACACATTGATCCTGTGTGAGCCTCCGGAAAGTGGTGGGATTGCACTGATGGGACCAAACACAGGATCTCACGGGTAACCCTGTGATGAGGGCATTGTCTAATATTTCAACAAGGATCGCGGCTGATTCCTGCACGTATATGTATATGGGGTGGTGGGAATCTCATTTCCTGTGTCTGGCCCTGCAGGATAAGCTGGGAGGGGAAGGCTCAGAAAGACAGCTCCGAGGCCGGGTATGGTGGCTCACGCCTGTAATCCCAGCACTTTGGGAGGCTGAGGCGGGCAGATCAAGGGATCAGGAATTTGAGAACAGCCTGGACAACATGGTGAAACCATACTAAAAATACAAAATTTAGCCGGGTGTGGTGGCGGGTGCCTATCACCCCAGATACTCGGGAGGCTGAGGCAGAAGAATTGCTTGAACCTGGGAGGTAGAGGTTGCAGAGCTGAGATTGTGCCACTGCATTCCAGCCTGGGTGACAGAGCAAGACTCTGTCTCAACGAAAAAAAAAGGCAGCTGCAACCTGCCTGGGCCCTTGCTTTGTAGCGGGGGCTCCTGCAGGCTGGTCCCTGAGCTGGGCAGGCAGCATCCGGAGATCATTGCTGCAGGAAAACTTGCGTTTTCTCCTGTGGTTTCTCTCCATTAGAGCAGGCTGCGGTCAGGGCCATCAGCCAGGGGACCAGGGCGGCCCAGGGCTGTGGCTGGGGACCCCAGTGGGTCGATTAAAACCATCCTGGGCTTCAGCGACTCAAATTTCCAAACTCAGTGACCTTCATTTGCTGGCTCCATCTGTTACTTTGCTAGGGTGCCACCATGGGATGGCTGAGGGCTGAACTGGGATGTTTCCGGTTTAAACCCTATACCCACTCAGACAGCCTGGGTGACCTCAGGCCTCAGGCCACACTGCAGACCAGCAAGCCTCAGGGCGGCAGTGTGGACAGCGTTCAGGTGAGGTCAAGGTAGGAAGTCAGCCTTGGTTTGGGGAGAAGCGCCCCAGGGCTGGTGGCCCACAGAACGAAGCAGGAGGTGAGCACCTGCTGGAGACGCCTGGGCACCCACATCCTTTGCCTGAATTTCTCATCTTTTCCATGGAAGTGGTTGGGAGCTGAGGCTGTGTCCTCTCTGCAGCCTGGGGAGCTGGGCTGGGGAAGACACAGGGCCCAGAAGGCCCAGGCTGATCTCCAGAGAGAGGGGCTGGCCTCTGCCCACTGGTTGCCAACTATCCTGACCTGGCTTCAGGGAGGAGTCCTAGAGGCCAGGGAGGCAGAAGCGGATGCCCACCCCGCCCCCCAACCCCGCAGGCCTTGCTGTCCCTGACCCAGTCCTCGCCTATTTTTCTTTTTGGTTTCTTTTTTTTTTAGACAGAGTCTATCCCTGGTGCTAGGCTGGAATGCAGTGGTGTGATCTCGGCTCACCGCAACCTCCGCCTCCCGAGTTCAAACGATTCTCCTGCCTCAGCCTCCCGAGTAGCTGGGACTACAGGCGCGCACCACCACACCCGGCTAATTTTTGTATTTTTAGTAGAGACGGGGTTTCACCATGTTGGCCAGGCTGGTCCGGATCTCTTGACCTCGTGATCTGCCCACCTCGGCCTCCCACAGTGCTGGGATTACAGGTGAGAGCCACCGCGCCCGGCCTCGTTGCTCACCTCTTTAGGTGACCTCCCAGGACGGCCGGAGTGTGTCCCCTTGGCCTGTGGCCCCCCAGCTCTGTGCGGGCCTCCGCCTGGCCGTCGCGTCTGGTGCAATCCCGCCGTCCGACCGCGTTCCTCCTCCCGGGCCGAGGCTGCCCGGTGCTGCCTCCCCGCGCCTGGGCCTCCAGCCTCCTAGTCCTGGCGGCGGCGGCCCCTCTGACCCCAGGATCATCTTCTAGAATCCTGATTGCTGAGGCTGAGCCGGAGCGCACTGTCTTCCCGCCCCCTTCACCTTCACCCCCTCAGTCTTGCCTCCCCTCCCCTCACCCCACACCCTCGTGGCTTCTGGCGAGGTCCACGCCCTATTTTTAGGCAGAAATTGGCAAAAAGGGTGAGCTGGGAGGTGGTTTCTGTATCTTACGCCGCCTCTTCCGCGGCTCCCTCCACAGGGCCGGGTGGTCCCGAAGGCGGTGGGTTGGGGGTGGAATGAAGTCCAAGGCGGAGCGGGGACCCTCCCACGGAGCCCCGGCCTGCCCCCTTGGCCTCGGGGGACTGGTGTGGACCGTGCCCTGCGCACCCCTCCGCGGCCCGATTCAGCCCTCGGCAGTCGGATGGCGGCACCGCGAACGGTCCTTCCAGCCCCAGACCAGCGCGGTGCCTGCACCCAGGAGGCGCCCACTAAATGCTTGTTGATGGAGGCGGCGAGTACCCGAAACCAGCGGCGCCTGGAGATGGGATCCGAGAGGTCCGGGCAGGGTGCGGGGATCTGGTGCTGAGCTGGGGTCCGTGCGCCCCTCGCGTCCCGAGGGTCTGCCTGGGCCCGAACCCGCGCAGCTCGGAGTCTCCAGCCTGGATTGGGTCCCTGGGCCCGGATACGCTCAGCCGGGGAGGGCGCGCCCGACCGATCCCAAAACTGTCAGTTGCGGGTCCCGGGGGAATTCGAACCAGCCTCCGCCAGCTTCTCCGAGGGGCTTCCCTGCCTCGGGCTCCTCCCCGGCCCCGCCCCCCGCCCCCGCCCCGGCCGCGCCCCACCCCCTGCAGTCCCCGCGCGGCGGCCGCCAGAGCCACGTGTGCCCGCGCCCGGGAGGCGTGCAGGGAAGCGCGGCCACGCCTGGGCCGGCCACCATTTCCCGGGCGCCGCGGCGGCGCCGACTCGCGGGCAGCGGCCCCATCGTGCGCCCAGCCGGGCCCCCAGCGCCAGGAGCATGAGCGCGGGCTCGGAGCGCGCGGCGGCGGCGGCGGCCCCCGGGGGGCTGCCCGCGCCCTGCGCCTCGAAGGTGGAGCTGCGGCTGAGCTGCCGGCACCTGCTGGACCGGGACCCGCTCACCAAGTCCGACCCCAGCGTGGTGCTGCTGCAGCAGGCGCAGGGCCAGTGGGTGCAGGTAGGGCCGGGGGCGCAGGAGCGGGAGGGCCACGGGTCGGGGCGCGCGCCGAGCTGGGGACGCGGAGATCCAAGCGGTCGCGCCAGGGCCAGGGGGGCGCGAGGCGGGGACCCCGGAGCTGGGGCTCAGCTCGGGGTCAGGGTCTGGGTGACCAGGTCTGGGGGGAGATGTCCAGAGCTGTGGGAGGGGCTGTGCTGGAGGAGGCGGCGAGGGGGGCCAGAAGGGGGGAGTGCCCCGCAGGGAGGGGTGCACCCCAGGTTCGGGGGGACCCCCGGCGGGAGTGAAGCCTTGGGGCTCCAGGCTTCCACAGGGGGCTTGACCAAGGGGCGCAGAAGAGAATGAGGGGCGGGGGGTGCCGGCCGACCCGGGCGAGAGGCTGGACGGGCTCGGGTCCTCACCACGGGGCGCGAGCAGGCCCGAGGGAGCGCGCGCTGCGGGGCGGACCAGCCGCGTTGGGGGCTCTAACGTGGGTCTCGGGCGCCGGGTTGGGGTCGGAAACAGAGCGGGGCCAGCGCCGCACGGGCGCTTTCTCAGTCGCCATGTCGCGTGAAACGTGTGGCTTCACCTCCAAAGAGCGAGAAACACGGGGTGCGAAGCCGCAGCAGGCGGAGGAGCTGGAACTCGAACCCTCGTCCGCGCGGGGCGCCAGCGCGCTTTTCCCCGGCGCAGGGGTCTCTCCAGGCTCCAGCGGGGCCCGGTGGGGTGGGCAAGGGGACCCCTGTGGCGGCTCGGGCAGTGGAGGGGACGCGTCACCGGGTACCGGGCGCTGGTGTCCCCAGTCACCGACCTCCAGAGTGAAGGGCCTGCCCCACCCCCACCACCTGTTCTCCACCGGCTCGGGCTCCCCCAGGACGCCCCATGCCCGTCCCCTCAGAGCCCAAGCCCTGGTTTCCCCAGGTGGCCTGATGCCCACACTCTCAGAGTCTGAGCTGTGCAGGTGGCCCATGCTTGCCCTTGGTTTGGGGTGCAGGAGTTTTGGGATTCTGGAAGTGAGACGTCTGCTGGCCAAGCTGGGTCTTGTCCTTAAGGGGCATTTGGGAGGGAGCTGCTCAGGATGGGAGAGGCCAGTGAACCGAAGTACCCAGCCAGGAGGGAGGGGGCCCATACCCCATGCCCCTTCCTGCTTAGCTGGTGCTAGGGAGTGGCCTGCGCTTTGGGGTTGCCCAGCCCAGAGTGTGAATCTGACCTCATCCCCGACTCAGCACGTCATTCTTGTTCTCTGTGAGCCTCAGTTTCCCCATCTATGATCTGAGGGTGGAGCACACAGTGGTGGGTGTGAGCTGAGAAGCTGCAGCCCATGGCTGGCCAGGGGTGACCCCCAGGGTGGCCCTCAGGAGTGCGGGTCCCACGGACAGAGAGCAGGTGGGAGGGGGTCTTCCCGGGGTGCAGCCCAGAAGAGAGTCTTCCTGAGGTGTGTGACGTCGGTGAGTGGCAGAGGGGAACCCGAGGGCTGGAGCCAGGACGGCCCTCAAGGAGGGCAGGGTGGAAGCCCTGGCGTGGGGTTGGCTCATAGGGCACACCTGCAGGTGGACAGAACCGAGGTGGTCCGGAGCAGCCTGCACCCTGTGTTCTCCAAGGTCTTCACGGTTGACTACTATTTTGAGGAGGTGCAGAAGCTGCGCTTTGAGGTGTACGACACGCACGGGGGGCCCGGCGGCCTCAGCTGTCAGGAGGACGACTTCCTGGGTGGCATGGAGTGCACCCTGGGGCAGGTGGGTGCTCGCGCCCTCGGAGGGAGGAGGGCGGTAATGGCGTGGGGCCCACAGCCCATCAAAGGCCAGTGTGCTGGCACCGCAGTGCCCCTGCTGGGGCCACCCTTGCTGCGCCGGTCTTCACGGCTGCTCCTGAACATTCCTGATCAAAGTATACATGGAATTTTGAGCCGGGTAATGCATCCGTATATTTGAAAGCCCGGAAGGTGTAAAAGGCCGTGGAGCGCCTCCCTCCTGCCCGTCCAGCCTGCCGCCAGGTTCTTGTACACTGTCCAGAGAGATTTTCACAGGAGCAAATGAAACTATCACTTCTCCTCTTTTTTAAAAAAAAAAACAAAGTGCGTTCCCTGTTCTGCATCCTGCGTTTTCACTTCCATGACATACGGCAGATCCTTCACATCAGCGCCTGAAGCCTTCCTGGAGGCCAGGCGCGGTGGCTCACACCTGTGATCCCAGCACTGCAGGAGGCTGAAGTGGGCATCACCTGAGGTCAGGAGTTCGAGACCAGCCTCGCCAACATGGCGAAACCCCGTCTCTACTAAACATACAAAAATTAGTTGGGCGTGGTGGCACGCGCCTGCAGTCCCAGCTACTTGGGAGGCTGAGGCAGGAGAATCACTTGGACCTGGGAGGCGGAGGCAGCAGTGAGTGGAGATACCACCACTGCATTCCAGCCTGGTGACAGAGCGAGACTCTGTCTCTCTCTCTCTCAAAAAAAAAAAAAAAAAAAAAAAAAAGTGTCTCCTGTGAGTGGCAGGTCCGGTGGTGGCTCCCGCCTGAGAGGCCACCGCCCTCGGTGATGCCCTCCCTGTGATGTTGTCCGCAGCCAGCGTAAAAGTGGCTTCTGCAAGTCACAACCGGGGTATCTGTCGATGGGCTGGGTGCTGTGCTAAACACTCCACGTGCTTCGCATTGAATTCTCACACCCTGCTGTGCAGGGTCCCTCTTTTTTATTGAGATGTAATTTGTGATACAATGCGTAGATCTCAAGGGTGGAGACTGACAGGTTTAGGCGCCTGACCGCACTCCCATCACTGCAGGCCCCCCACCCCTTTGCAGCGGCTCCCCCTGGTTATCTGTTCTGGAATTCCATGTCCATGAATCACACCGTGTGTTCTCCTGGTGCGGGCTTCTTTTACCCAACACCATGTCTGCGTGACTCACCCGCGGCAGCACAGGCCGGAGCCTGGTGTCCCTCCTGTTTTTCAGATAAGGAACCTGAGATTTGTGGAGGGGACATTCCTCCATGAAAGTGGTGGAGCAAGGCTCCCCTAGGCTCCCACCTTGAACCCTTCCACTGTGCAGAGGGAAGAGGGTGGCATGGACACAGAAGTATGGACACCCTTTTTTTTTTGCGTTGGGGTCTCTCTGTGTCTCCCAGGCCAGCGTGCGGTGGCACAATCACGGCTCACTGCAGGCGTAACATCCTGGGCTCAGGCCATCCTCTCTCCTTGGTCTCCTGAGTAGCTGGGACTGCAGGTGTGTGCCCCGAGACCTGGCTAATTTTTGCATTTTTTGTAGAGGCAGGGGTCTCACCATCTTGACCCGGCTGGTCTTAAACTCCCGGGCTCACCAGTCCACCCACCCTGGCCTGCCAAAATGTCGGGATTATAGGCATGTGCCACTGTGTGTGGACCGGACACCTGCAGATGTACACACAGGCACACACAGGGACCATCATCCATGCCGGACGTGCTGTCCGCAGAAGCACACGCAGGGCCCGTGTGGACACAGGCATGCATATATATGTGTGTGTCGAACACGTGTGCTGTGTGTATGTGCAAACTTGAAGCAATGAAGTGACCCCTGCTGGGCTTCTGCTTTGCTGCCACTCAGCTGACCCGTGGGCACCGTGATCAGGGGAGCGGCTGCTGCCCTCAGATCCCTGTGCTGTGACCTTGAGCCTGACCTCGCCTCTGACCTCTGCCTCCACTGTTTCCTGATGTGATTCAAGTCAACAGTGACTCAGTGCAGAACCAGGCGGGGGGAACTGCTGATCAAACGCGGTTATCACAAACCTGCGATCTGCTTTTCCTGTTGAGGAGGCTGTTACGTTGGCCTGAGCCCGTTTCTGCCTAAGGGGTTGCTCTCCTGCCAGAAAAGGGAGGTCACCCCTTCCTTCCTGCGCCCTCCCTGGAGGCAAACCAGGATGGCAGTCCAGTCCCAGGTGGGAGGCTGAGCCCCAGAAGGAAACCTTTCAATTGGGGAATTTGGGGGGCCTGGCCCAAGGTGCCCCCTCCCGGCACCCAGGACCCCCTCTCTGCACCCCTAAGAGAGCTTTCCCACCCCTTAGCCTGTTCTGACCTCCCAGCCCCCACCTAGGATCCATTTTCTCTTCCACTCAGAAGCTGCTGGCCGGGCAGGCCCTAGCTGGGGTGGAGGGACTGCCTATCTTTGCTTTGTATTTCTGACCCCCAGCATCCACCAGACAGCAGCAGGTGTGAGGGGCAGGTGGGAAGCCCACACCTGCTACCTGCTGTGCCCCTGGACGGTTGCTGAGAGCACGCCCAGGTGAAGAGGTGACGGTCACCGGTTCCCACTTGGCCGGGATCATTGCCATATCCTCAGGATGTGGAGCCTGGGGGGTTCGTGCACCCCTCACCCCCACCCTGCTCCCCACTAAGCAGATGGCATGGCTCCATGGGCCTGGGCCTGCCTTCCACCCACCACAATGAGGGGCTCAGAGCCGATGGGGTGGGCGTCCAGCAGGGCCTGGCAGGGAGGAGGAGGAGGAGGAGGCCAGGCTGCATGAGTCCTAGGGGGCTAAGCCTCCGTCCACCTCCACGATCAACTCTGCGCCTCAGCACCTTCGCAGAGGAGTGCACCCGGGGCCACATGGGCATGTGGGGTGTGAGGACCTGCCTCCCCCTGCCTCTGTGCGTCCTCATCTGGGGCTGGAGAGGGTCAGGGGAGCCGCACTCACCTGCAGAGGGAGCTGCTTCCACCACACCTGTGCAGGTGCGCCTGGCTGGGCCGTGGGCTGCTTCCTGGCCGCCCCTGAGCCTGTATCCTCACCTGGTAAATAGGGGTGAGGATGGCTGGCCCCAGGAGGTGGTAGACATGCAGGGGTGGCCATACAGGGGTCGCAGGAACTTGAGAGCGGCCCCACAGGGGGCCCTGGGCCCTGGGCAGTGGGAGACATGACCGGCGTGAGGGTCAGGTGAGGGCTCGGTGGGGCCCCAGGGTCAGGAGACGTCCCCGCCTGCCCCTCCCTGCTTGACACTTCTGACTTCCAGATTGTGGCCCAGAAGAAAGTGACCCGCCCGCTGCTGCTCAAGTTTGGCAGGAACGCCGGCAAATCCACCATCACGGTGAGCAGGGCTACACCCGCCGCACCCACAGGCCCCGCTGCTGTGGCTCTGAGGGGTGTCCTGGGGGAGGATGGCTGGCGTGCAGTCCAGGGAGGGTCGGCCAGAGCCCACAGCGGCCCAGTCCTGGGGGTGCCCAGACGCCTCCTCTCAGCCCAGCTGGGTAGGGTCCTCTGGCCTGGGGCCTCGGGCCTCCCGCACTGGCATCAGACGCCCCGGCCTTGCCCTGCCAGGTGATCGCTGAGGACATCTCAGGGAACAACGGCTACGTGGAGCTGTCCTTCCGGGCCAGGAAGCTGGACGACAAGGTGAGAGCGGGTACCGGGCACGTCTGGCTCAGGCCTCGGTCTGGGAAGCAGTTGGAAAACCTGGTCCCTGCCCAGCACTGAGCTCGCACGGCCGTGTCCCATGTGAGATGTGTGTGCTGCGTGGGAGTGCGCGTGGGGCCGGGCATGCTGCCATCTCGGTCGCCATCCTCACCGTCACCCACGTTAGCTCGCCCGCCCCTCCCAGCAGCCGGGCTGGGACATTGGCAGCTCCGCTCATGACCCTGCTCAGTGACAGGGAAACAGGCCCAGCGCCCCCGAGGCTGCCATCCTGAAGCAGCGGGAACTGCAACAGCGCGTCGTTCCGCGGGCTCCTCACACGGGTGGGGCAGAGCAGGGTCCAACCCTGCCCACCACGTAGGGCGTCTGGAGGCCTCCCGAGAGGGGCCGAGTTGGGCCGACCCCAGGTGGCGAGAGGGACGGAGCAGGGAGATGTCCCGGGGTGGACTCGCCGCCTTGTTCTGTGCCTGAGGCTCTGGGACGTGATGAAAGCAGCCCCCACCCAGAGCCCGTTTCTCAGCGCCCAGCCCAGCAGCCGCTGTGCCACTCCCCAGGACCTCTTCAGCAAGTCCGACCCCTTCCTGGAGCTGTACCGGGTCAACGATGACCAGGGCTTGCAGCTGGTGTACAGGACAGAGGTGAGTGGGACGGGGCGCAGGGAGTGGGAAGGGAAGGGGCTGGCCCGCCTCCTGACTCCTGCATCCCCGGGCACAGCAGGAACTCCCCCTCTATGGGGGGGGGGGTGGGGGACAGGGCCTTGGTGGCCGTGGCTACAGCCAGAGCCCAGCAGGCTTGTTTGGCTGTCGCTGTGATGATTTTTAGGACTACCTTTCACTTCCTGCGGGTGAAACGGGATTTCCGCGACTGCAGTGAGAGAGCTCTTTCTTTTGAGAGAAACTAACTTGAATGCAGATGGAGATACGTAAGGAGCAGAGCAGGGCGGGTGCTTAGAGATGCAGAAGTTGCGAAGGTAGTTTCCAAAGGCACAGCGCTCGGAAATGTGGCTTCTCTGTGCGGGAAGCGGGTACCAGCCGCAGCTCAGGGCCCGGCGCTGTCTGGGTTGACAGGTGGGGCCAGCTGCGCCCGACCCGCAGCTGCTCCTCCATCCAGGTCTCTGTGAGCCCCAAGTATCCCAGGGCTCTGGGCTGCCCCTGAGCCAGCCCCTCCTGCCCACAGGTGGTGAAGAACAACCTGAGCCCCGTGTGGGAGCCCTTCAAGGTGTCGCTGAGCTCCCTCTGCAGCTGCGAGGAGACGCGGCCTCTGAAGGTTGGGGACAGCATGGACCAAGGGGGCAGTGAGGGGTGGCCTCTCTGCGGGCTGGGGATGGAGACGCCCAGGCTCAGGGGTGGGAAGGTCTTGGGGCCCCCCGAGGACAGAGCTGAGGGGGCCTGGGCTCCCCAGTGCCTGGTCTGGGATTACGACTCCCGAGGAAAGCATGACTTCATTGGAGAATTCTCCACCACCTTCGAGGAGATGCAGAAGGCCTCCGGGGAGGGTCAGGTGAGTGGGGGGCCTCCGTGGAGGGGAAGGTGAGCAGGAGGCTTTCGGGTGGGGTCAGGTGAGTGGGGGGCCTTCAGGGGGTCAGGTGAACGGGGGCCTCTGGGGAAGGGCACGTGAGCAGGGGCCTTTGGGGAGGGGCAGGTGAGCAGGGTCCTTTGGGGAGGGGCAGGTGAGCAGGGGCCTTTGGGGTGGGGTCAGGTGAGCAGGGGGCCTTCGGGGTGGGGTCAGGTGAGCAGGGGGAATTCGGGGTGGGGTCAGGTGAGCAGGGGGACTTCGGGGTGGGGTCAGGTGAGTGGCACCCACCTGGGCTATGCCAGTGTCAGCTCCGCACGGAGGCTATGAAACTCCATCCCAGTGTCCTGCAGGGGTTATGGGGAGCAATGACAATGACTCATCAAAACCAGAGGGGGCTCTGGAGGGCCACAGCAGGGGTGGCCTCCATGAGGTTCAGCTGGAAATTGTGGGTACCTGGGTCAGCCCTCGAGGAGCTGGTGTCTGTGAAACTGTGTGGATGGGGGGCAGAGCTGGGCACACGGTGGTGGGAGGTGGGGCTGGGGGGTGCGCTCCCCTGTGTCTGCCCAGCCTGCCACAGCCAGGCGAGGGTGCAGCTGAGGGGCCACCCCAGGCCCTGCTTCCTGCGCCTCCCTGGGCCTTGTCATCCTTGGGCTTAGTGACAGGGTCGTGTCCCGTGGGGGGTCCAACTCTCATCCCCCTCCAGCTGCCTTGCGGCGGCCCTGCCCTTCCCCACCTTGGGGGCTCAACCCTTGCTGTTTGGGATGGTTTTGGGCGGGGTCTCCCACTCTGTGGGGCCTCTGCCTGTCCCTGCCTCAGGCCCAGTGGGACTGTGTGAACCCCAAGTACAAGCAGAAGAGACGAAACTATAAGAACTCGGGAGTGGTCGTCCTGGCTGACCTGAAGGTGAGAGGCGGCCGTGCCCGAAGCTTCCCCACCCACAGGAGGAGCCTCCACTGCCCCCCCATTGTTGGATGGACCCTTAGCCAGAGGCCTGATGGGCCCTAGCATGTCTGGGGAGGGGCTGAGAGATGGGGAAGACGAGGTTGGGGAGAGAGGAAGGCGGGAGGTCTGGATCCCAGCTATGCTGGCCTCAGTGTCCCTGGCGGGGGGCGTCCTCGAAGGCCGTGCTGGCCTCAGTGTCCCTGGCGGGGTGGCGTCCTCGAAGGCTGTGCCGACACTGCTGGCCGGAAGTTCCACAGGGTCTACTCCTTCCTGGACTACATCATGGGCGGCTGCCAGATCCACTTCACCGTGAGTCCACGGCCCCGCCCTGTGCTGGGCGCCCCCACTGCCCTGAGAAGCAATCAGGCCAGACACGTGGAGTCCCCCAGCTCCCGAGGGGCCCGGCCGGGGGGGTGAAAGGGCCCTGGCGGTTCCCCCTGGGCCAAGGTCTCCATGTGTGGCTCCTGGTGTCCTTGCTTCTTTGCAGTTGAGGGAATGGGCTTGGGGTTCAGAAGCCAGCCTGAAGTCCCCTTTGGGAGGTGACCACCAGGGCTTACCTTCCACAAACATAGTTAACAACAGACAAAACGTGAACAAGGAGAAGCCAGAGTGAGCATTTGGGTGAACCAGCCACAGGCTGTAGCGTGGGGTAGTGCCTAGCACAGACCCCATGTCACCCCGTCACCTGCAGATGTGCAGACCCACATCACCCCCACATCACCCACAGGTGTGGAGACCCCATGTCACCCACAGATGTGTCACCCCTGCATCACCCCACTACACCTGCAGATGTGCAGCCCCCCATGTCACCTGCAGATGTGCAGACCCACATCACCCCCACATCGCCCACAGGTGTGGAGACCCCATGTCACCCACAGATGTGTCACCCCTGCATCACCCCACAACACCCGAAGATGTGCAGCCCCCATGTCAGCCCCACATCACCCACAAATGTGTCACCCGTGTATCACCCCACTACACCTGCAGATGTGCAGACCCCCGTGTCACCCTCGGGTCACCTGTGTCACCTGAATGTCATTTGCAGATGCACAGACCCTCACATCACCTGTTTGCCACCGGAAGATAAGCAGACCCCCGTGTGACCCGTGTGTCATTCGCAGAACTGCAGACCCTTGTCTCACCCCCATGCTACCCTCAGATACACAGACCCCCGTGTCACCGTGTGTTGTACACAGACCCCGTGTCA